ATGTAAAAATATCCTTTACGGTGTGCGGTCAGTTTGAATTATATGTAGCGCTGGATGACTCTTCTTCTGCAGTACAATTAAGTTATACTTATAAAACAATTCTATTTTAAACAAAAAGCATGCTAGGTACAATAACACTGGCTCGGTAAACTAGAGGGCGCATGCTACTGCCCGATACAAAAATACCGCCTGAATTCGCCTTGAATCCATTCATTCATCTGGTCTGCGGTTACTGCGTGTATCCATCCATTCAACACTCAACTAGGGACTATACTGGCCGCTGGGCGCGCTCGCTGACATTGAATTGGGCCGCTGGGGCCTATGGAAGTGTCCGCTCTATACGTAGTACTATATTTCTCTATGTGCTATACTCGCGGTCAGCATTCTGTGGCAATTGGAAGAGATGAGGAAAGCGCGAGTACAGCGGTTGGTGCACCTTCTCCCCTAGCATTGACTGCATTGCCACAAAAAACTGACCAGTTTTTTTTTCTTTATATATATTGAATGCATAAAGAGAGAGTTTCGGTAACCTCCGCCTTGACCTCGCCCCCTCCCTCCTCTCTGGTCAGCTCTGTCACGTGACCCGAGGGAGGGGAGGGTCACGTGACAGAGCTACGCGCTGATAAACATAGCCAGATCCGGCAGCGCGCGCGCTGGCAGTCGCTTTTTTCTTTGTCTGCTTGTGGTCCGTTGTAGTTCGAGCTTCGTTTGTCCTACCTGCTTCGATCCGCCGCCTTTCCCTTCGGTCTTATTAGGATGTCTCTCGACAACGTATTGGATTTGCACCACAGCTATCGGTGTTCGAAAAGTCCTACGCGTATATCGGCAACAAGCGATTCTTCATAGTCAGGAATTCTTGCGGTTTGATTGGGTTCGGCAAATGACAGCTTGTGCGCCGCATCGTGTTGAAACTTCAAGGAGCCTTCCTTCTCGTTTTAGTGCTTGTGTGGTTGTCTTGCTTTGACCGTTTCGACATATATCTTGGATTACATCTTTTAAGTCCGCTATTATTATGGTAAGTGCATTGCTACCTACTTGTTGGCAACGATTGACCGTTCTTTTACGGGTACGCTTCCAGATTATTTATAGAATTATGCAGCGTCTGTTCTCGCGGTAGCTGAGAGAATAATTTCCCCGAAAGTCTGCCATTATAGTCTAGAATTACCTCGGTTCTTGTTTGCTTTGCAAGCTTCTCAATTGAATAAAAGCTTGTTCACTCTTCACATTTTACGGATCGCTTGCACGTTTGTACTTGTCTACAGAATTGGCTGTAATAAACTTTTATAAGAATTTAAAACAATTTTTTGTGTCTGTTTTCCTGCCCATTTGCAAGCACCTGCGCGAGTACATTTTTTCTACGTGTTTCCTCCCTGTTATAAATAGGCTTATGAGTTTCGGGGTGTCTGAAATAAGTTAAGATAACCAACCTTCCAGACGATACCCATTTAGGGCTAGCGAATAATTTACCTATCCGAATGGCGTGTTCAAATGTGTGGTCACGTGGCTGGTCGAACGGGCACCCGTATCAAACGGGTACCCGTCTCCCATAATCACGTTTGATCCAAACGGATCGACAGTTGGCCACCCGTTTGATTCAACAGGGTCGACCAGTTTGCCACCCGTTTTAATTTCAAATGTTTTTTTTTCTTTTTTTTTTTTCAGTAGGGAGTGTAGTTGAATCTAAGATGAAGGAACGCCAATTCAGTTGTATGCCTTTCGTCGTCTTCTTTCGTTATTATCTCATTTTTGCTTCGTATTTATTTTCTTTGGACACTACACACACGCTGGTTCTAAAATTTAGCCCGTTTCCGCCGTTTACGCAAGAAACTTTAAGTATAGTTTATCGCTCTCTCCGACCAAAACGCCAGTACCTCGCGCTTGCGACGCTACCGAGATGAGGGCTCACCTTTTATTACGCGTGCGAAATTCTAGAACACCAACAAACAAATTGCCTGACTGGCATTTCCCGAAGTCCTCCTAGAGGAATGCGATTTATAGCGCCTCTTTGCGCCCTTTTTTCAGGCACAGTCAGGAGACCGTCAGAATGTCACAAGGCGCCACGTCGTCACGTCAAGGTGTCACATGACATCCCCGTCTCATTTGACATCCTGGCTTCACGTGACGTCACAGGGGACCTATACATATTAGGCATTTTGACTGACTGGATGACAACAAAACGTCGCAGACGCCTTCACGTCTTCGAGGCTACGTCTAAGCTAGCAAAAACCTCAAGAGATAAAACTAAAAATGTCCTGTATTTAAGATTATTTCTGGCACGATTAACATATGGGATATTCTTCATTGCGTACTAGCAGTTGTGTGCGCTAGCGCCAGCGCAACGGCTCACGTGAGCTTGGCACAAGCGGTCTCGCATTGCTCTAGACAAGGAGCTCTAGTCCGTCGCCAGCGGCAGCAAATTGCTGGTAGTTGTTATCCACCTCGCTGGCTCTTCAAAAAAGCATGTTTTAAATGCCTCTGGAGGTAGCGCAATGTCATCCTATACTACATGTTGCGGTTAGAAGGAGGAAGAATGCCGCAATGCCGCTGTCTTGAGAGCTACCATTTCGTGTTTGACTTGGGCGGGTTTGGCTACCCACTCCATTTCCTAAGAATGGCGTGCCCACCCAAAAAACCTAAAACGCGGTTTGGGTTCTGCGCTTGCGGGATTGCGACGACGCTATTTTTTTTTTTTTTTTTTTTTTTGGGGGGGGGGGGGGGGGGGATACGCGATCCTGAGTAACAAACGAAAGTATGCAGACTGGAGCTGATTAGTAAACGTCCTAATCTATACCATGAGACACGGAGAAATTGAATAAAAGACTAAACGACACAAAATCTGAACGCAGCTGGGTATATTCGCAAGGGAAAAGAAATTTACAGTCGTTCGCAAAGAAAGGATAGAGGGAAGCCTGAAGACATGCCGTCGCAAAGCTTTTATGGAACTAAACCAGAAAGGCTGACCTCCAACCCAGACACCAAAACGCCAGCAGACACCCGCTGCCAATCTACCTGACATGAACCCAGGTGCGTGTTATATTTTGTGCCGTAATGCGCGTTCATTTTTTTTCACCGAGTCTCAGGTTTTAGATTACTACACTTCGGTAGCTGAATATTATAAAGGCAAACTTGTTGGTTACTTCAAGGCTTCTGAAGCACACACGAATAGAAATGTACGCAATTTGTTTTAAACAGTTTTTTCTTTATAAAATATTGGGCTATCATAACAAAACTATTGAATCGCCTATGCTTTAAAAAAATAGTAGCTTCATGGTGCATTCAAAATTTGAACATTTCTATCGATTTAGTACGAACATAATGACGAAACAAACAAAGCGCGTGCTTTAATTTAAAAAAGAGTTTGTCGCAAAGAGGAAGTTTTTTTGTTCTTTTTTTTGTGGTAGAAGATTGAAAAGTTATATTTGACCGAACAACGTCATTCACATGTCACCAAATTTCTTCTAGAATAAACCTTTCATCCCTAATGAACCTTTGTAGTACACCGCGGTTGATTCTATTTGCGTTTTGTGGCCGTAGTATGCATCCCCGTACACCCTCCTTGAATTGCCTTCATGCATATAAAAATAAATAAAATCACATCCTGAACACGAGTCTTGGTGATGCAAATATTTGTTCGTATATATATAGAATAAGTGGGTTAGTTGGCAATTGACCTTTCCGTAAATATGTGGTGCCCTAGCGTTTGCTTTACGGATTGTGCCGTTAAGATGTTCGGCACGTGGAATAATCCAAAAAACGAAATCGAAGTGGACGTTGGTTTAACAGTTCGTGACTTCAGAACGCAGAGAAGGCGGAAGGAAGGCAGAACAGAGTTTGTGAGGGCCTCGTTCTCTGTTCGCTTAATCATTTTATCTCTTCTGAGCTCCTAACAATAAGAAAGAATGAATCGTGCCACTATCAAAATATATAAAGCTTTCGAGCTGGTACCCCCAAGCGTAGATCTGAACAACCCCACAATTCCCGGCTATGCAGTCTCGTGGGATTTTTCAAAACGATCTTTTCATTTAACTGCCGGCACGTTTGGTTTTAAATATAGTATTTTCATCTGATAAGAAATGGTGGAACCGCACAAAAATTTGTTCAGACGTAGTGTAAAAAAGTAGGCTTAATAGCAACCTCCAAAACAAATGAGCTTGCTCAAGAGCCAGTGTGTAACTTAATATATTCATAGTATTTTTAATACATGCAGTTTTCGTCTATCGTGAACAGTGAACGACTTTTGGCTCCGTACAACACTCAGCCAGATGCAGTAATCCTCATATGATTACTAGAGTAAAAACACTTCATGACAGAATTTTATGTGCGTCAAATCAACTTGTGTTTTCATTCCGAAATCGTTATCACCTTCTTAGCGCGATACTGGATTACGACGAAAAAAATACCCGAAGTCCATGCCACCATCCGCGTGACGAAATCAGTCACACTTATGGCAGGTGTACGTGCCTGACGCTAATTAAATTTCTTATGTTTTCTTCGGTCTTCGTGTTCCCGACGGAGTTCTAACAATACACATTGTGAAAAAAGAAATCCTAAAATCAAACATGGTTGTAAAACCCAATTTTTTTTTTTTTTTAGTGTGATCTAGAAGTTTTATCCAGGAAATAGTTGGAAGGAAAGTGACGACGATTGCTTTACATTCTAGGTTGTGCCTTCACTTGATGCGAAGAGGCGGTTCTTATTTTATCTGTTTTATGTCTAATAATATGAAATACGACAGAGTGTTTGTTGCATTCCTTGTTAGTTGTTGGTCGGTAAAATCGACCGAAAGCAGACATTTGCAAGAACACTACAAGTGGTCGATACTTTATGCCCGTGAGTGATGTCAAAAGGCTAAAATTAAATTTAATGAACAAATATTGTAAGACATGTCGGTGAGACAATCTTCAAAATATAAATTATTCTTCTCAAGGTAAATAGAACACAAGACCATAAATGCGGTACGTGTGCGAACATTTATCCGATACAGTACTTCTCTGACTTACCACAGCATTGTACATCATGTTCTCCATTGCCAGGGCTACAATGTTGTATTTGAGTACGGTGTACCAGACGGTGCCTTGATAGAAGTCTCCAGCGTTGAAGAAGAGCGGGTTCGTTTCGGACGTTTTTAAATCCCTCACCTAAAAAGGCAAGATGTTTTTTTATAAACTTACTCTACAAATTCGACGCCTGTTTTATTTTAAGTATAGTGCGCATCATTTTGAAAGGCTACTTTTTTTCTTAGTTTAAAACAAGTAGAAAATTTGTCCTGAAATATTCAATGCAATCTCATCAAGAAATACACTCAAAATAAAGGTGTCTGGGAAGAGAAAACGAACAATCACAATTTGAATTATTTGTTTACAAGTACAAGATACGTAACTGCGTCCTTAAATTGTTCCCAAAATATATTTTGCCTTACTTCTTTTGAAAGAAATAATTTTTCAAACAATGTAAACTTTCCAGTTAAACTAAGGCCCTTTATTTTTTTCACCAACAACTGAAAAGGTTTTTTTTTCTTACAAAAGACATTATGTATAATAAAAGATTAATTATGGTCAGCGCTATCGGCCGCGGTGGACGTCACGTACAGCGGGTGTAGTGGTAATTAGTAAATTAATGACCTAAAGTTAACTAACTATCTATTGAAATATTTGCCTTAGATGTCATATTTCAATTGAAAATGTGTTATCCGACTTCAAAATATTGCAATTCTATTGCTTGAATTGAAACAACTTAATTATGCTCCGACTTATTCTTTCTCGCAAAATTAGGCTGCCATGAGTCCCCCATGGCTTACGCGATGACTCGTTTCCCGCAGAAGCTGCAGAGGCTGCTATTGCTCACAAGTGGGACTTACACCGCTCTTTTTAGCCGGTTTACGTTATCTCGGTCTTCTCAGTGATTATTAGTTTCTCATGGAATATCGTGGAGCGAGTGTGTTGATTGTAACAGATATACCATATTTTGACGACGTACAATACATCTCTAATTAAAATATACCAGCTGAGGTAAACATTTTGAAAGCGAATGTGTGGATTTTAGAGTGGATCACCTTCCGCCTGACCGTGTAATGACGACGGCAGCGAAAGAACCATCATCGTCAATTGGCCTGGCACCGTCACAATCCATTACGTGCATCGCCCGACACTGTTAGCGCAAACAAGCGATCGCGTTTTTTTCTGTTTTTTTTTTTTTTAGGTTCTAAAGGCACCACAATAGTCTTAACGACTACTGTGGTGCGGATTGTGTGATCGGAACATTAATATATCAGCTAAAATATGATTCCCGCCATTGTCTTTTGAAACTAAAATATGAAAACAGCGCCCATGTCGTCTTCGCGCTAACAATATCGCAGGCATGGCTCAACGCTGTTTGTGCAAATACGACATCTGCGATTTCTTTTTTTTTTTTTTGCGTTAGTGCATTTTGTGATCACTTTCTACCTGACCGCTAGATTTGATTAAAGTTGTTTCTTGTATTATAGATATCGAGGGACAAAAATCATTATAGTCAGTAAACAGTGAAAACAGCAAGGTGTCTCCTTCGAACGCCACGCCCCCAGCACACGCTCCATGCCTTCCACAATGCTTTGGGAGATCACCCACACTCGAGGTGCACGAGACTCCATACCGTTGTCGTAGGTATGACGCTCGTGCTAGAGGCGGGACAACGGAAGCTTCTTTTGTCGTTCTCCCCTTGTCAGTGACTTTAATTAGCCCTTAACAGTGTCGCGATATGTATGAAACATTTGCATTAGTTTACTCTCAAGAGCATTCGCGTTCCGAAAATGATCTGCGGCTAGATGAGTTTGGCGTGCAAATTACACGTATTAATAAAATCCACAGTGCTACAACCGAGAAAGGTAATCAGTGTGCACCGCTTGGAGAGGCTTTGCCACAATGCGCTTTAGAAAAGAATCAAGTCTCGAAAATCAAATGATACAGGAACTGTTGATTGGCGTAGAGAGCGAGCGGAATGAACGGAATAATGATAACCACAAATGTATAACTCTCCGATTGTTACAATATCGTAATCATGTCTCAAAACGCCAATGTTACAAACATCTAATGGCTGGTCTGGTGGTGATTCATTTCAACAAGCGTTGGTCACCGAATTGAATGCCGTGGATATGCTTCTGCTAGATAAATGAACCTGCCTTGCCTTTAGTGGTTTCATCACGTTCGTTCGTTATAGCTTGTGCGCGATACATGCAACTACATGGTTCAGCAAAAACTAACGGTGACCAGTCATCATTGACTTCGTAATGAGTCGGTTTATGTTACAAAAAAGCTTTTACCTCATTTTGAGCAATTATCGTCAGCAGAACATATCTATGCTACAGAAACCAGTTAGCGTGTGTAGAGTCTTATACCCTAGTTACACGGGCGCTTTTAACTGTCGTTGAGTTCAATCACAGTTATCGGCCCCAACTGTGATTGAACTGAACTGAACTGAGACGGTGCTACACGGCTCTCTAGAACCCAGTTGAAGCTAAAACGAAACTATAGTCGGTTGCAATCTAAGAAAAAACCGGAAATGCCTCTCAGAGGAAAATGTAATCCTACGCCGAGAAACGCCAGCCAATCGTTTTCACGACGTCACGTATCCGTGGACCAATCGCGATCCTTTTGAAAAAAAAAAAAAGCTCAACATGGCTGCTGGCCTTAGCAACGCGACGCTAGTTTCTCGTGACAATTATTCTGCTTTTTTGCACCGTGTTTTACGTGCCCGAGGTTACGCCACGAAATCTTAATGGTATCGGCTTGCGTTTGCAGCAGTTTTTGCGCGACAACGTGAGAATCCAGCGACGCTATCGCCAACGAAAATTTCGAAGCGGGCGCGAGGCTTAGCACTGCTGAGAGGTATGTTAGAGGTATGTTAGACAGTATCTTGGACAGAAAATGAATTGGGAAGACGGTACATTGAACATGACTTTCTTTCTTTACTAAACAGCTATTTCGTTCACAAAAACGTATTCTAACTTATTTAAATGTCCTGAATGAATTAAATAAATATTGTAGAAGTTTAAGACACGTTTCCTGGAGGAAGAAAAAGCAACGTTGCTAGCGAACTACTTTCTCGACGGCGGACGCACTTCAGATGGGCGCAATGCGCTTGTGGGTGGAGCTAAAAGATTGTTCTCAGGTTGCATCCGACTATAGTTATTGTGCCTCGTGATCAGTCTAACTGTTAAAGTAATCTACTCGGAGAAACATATTTTATTTACTATAAGTATATCGTACATTATGTTCAATACCTTGTTGCTTTTTAGCGGCGTTTACATCAGTACCAAAGCAGACTCAAGGCTAAGTTGCGCATATTTTAGGCAAGGTGGGGCTATCTACCACCCGCTACGATGGGTGCACCAATTACTGTCTGTCCATTCACACAGCTGGTCCCGCCGCCTTCTTCGCTCGTTTGGTGGCTTGCCGGCTAGCCGGGATCGTTCGAGCGGCAGCTCGGACGCCTAAATGTATTCCTTCCCGGATATTTTGCTGCTACGATTGTTTGTAGAAGCCTCCCCCTGCATTCCGAAACAGCAAGTGCCTCGGAAACGATGGTCGGCGGCAGCGGTCCCGCGGACAGGCGCCATTTTACCTCAGTTGGGGAAGTCCGTTCAGTTGAACTGAGGTAGGGGAGCTCAGTTGAACTCAACTGTCATTAGCGGCTCGACGACAGTTGGCGCCGCCGTGTAACTCCGGCCGATCGCGAGTGAGTCAACTGTCGTTGACTCAGTGGCAGTTGAAAGCGCCCGTGTAACTAGGGTATTAGACATCGTGACCTGATAGGGCTGAAAACTCGAGCCGCCGCTATGGAAGGATGACAAACAATACTCGTGAAAGAGTGGTGCGTGCGTGCGTGCGCGCGCGCGTATTTTTTTAGAAGAACGCGCGTGGCGGATATTTGAGCATAAATTAAACTAGACCTTTGGTAAGTGAATTTCGATTACCTGCAATATTTTTAGCTATTCAGTCCACTTTTTTTAGTTTCTAAAACTTTGTGAAAATGTGCAGAAAGCAGTGTTACAAATTGTTTCAGTGAACGCGTAATGAAGTGTTTCTGGAATAAAAAAAATAAAGTGGCTCAAATGCATTAGGGTTCTGTGAAAATCGGGCCCGCCATCACCGTGAGTGGACGCGGGAACAGGACCGAGCTTCTTTTTCTTAAATTACAAATAGCGCTAGGACGAGGACAGACGAAGAAGTGGACAGGACAGGCGCTTCTTCTTCGTCTGTCCTCGTCCTAGCGCTATTTGTAATTTAATTATGTGTAACCAACTAGCCCGCCAGAATGTTTTATTTCTTTTTCTTTCCATTGCGTGTTGGCGTTTGCACGTGTGCCCCTGTGTGTGGGTGAACTGGCGACGCTCGTGCGAGCTGGGGCAGGGGACGTTTTGAGAAGAGAAGAAGACGAGGACAGCACGTGCTGTAACCTTTTGCAGGACATTCGAAAATTAGCTTCGCTTGTAAATAGACGTGTTTTTTTTCTTCCCCCTACCCGCGGAGTCCTGTCTGGTTTATTCTTCCGTCAGCGACCATCAGCTGCCTCCATCGTCGGGTCCCGGCGCAATCTCCAAGAAAGAACATCTTTACTGGCGCAGTCGACAGGATTGCGTCAGCGGACCCCGGCGGCGTGATCTTCACAACGGAATCGGCGGACAGCGACTTGACGCGGCATTGGTGGAGCCTTCTAAAGAGAAGACTGGACCACCGGGCTCCTTGAAGATTGGACCACCGAGCTACTTCGTGGTGGCAGAGCTACCTCTGACCGGATGCCGTCCCACCCCAGCGAGGAACGCTTGAGTCTACAGCTCGGACATCATTTTCATGCCTGACTATTCTGAGTAGCGGGCTGCGTCTGTGATTCAGCGGCAGTCGTTGACCTTACGGTAAGGTGATTCTTTAACGTGTGCCCGCCATGAATACAGACAGCGCAGAAAGGCAGATGCCGGTTCTAATGCCCGAGCAGAATAGGGGTCGGAATAGGGATGTTGACGGGCCAGGTGAATCGTCACCTTCGAGTGGATTAGGGGCAAACTCGCAGACACAAGGGGAGGGGAACGGAGGAATCCGACCAGACAGCTTAATTGAAAAGGAGATAGAACTAGTGAGGGAGAAAGAATGGCTAATACGTCTCG